TACGTAAGTGCGACACCTTCTACAGCGGATGATACCAGTTGGGGCAAAATTAACCACAGGAACTTCTTCCTGCATGATGTAGATTTTGCACGTAGAGCAAGTGAGATTCATATGAAACCCTTAAACTGTAACTATCCAGAATATGAAAGAGTACTATGTCATGAATACAAACCCCATCAGGTGCCTCGGCGAGAGGACAAACAACTGCTCCAAGAGATAAGTGCCACCTTGAAGCCAAAGACTGAGAATTTGGTATGCCACTAGTTGTCAGCCTCAAAAATCTTGAACTGCAGTTCATGGGATACATCTCAGACAAAACGTTCCGCTCAAGATCAACGTCAATTGGTCTCGGTAGAACCTTAGAGTCAAGGCCGGAATCAAATGATCCTGGAACAGACCCAATTGAGAACGAACTGAAGTCTTCCACCAAACCTTGCATAGCTGACGTAGGAGGCATAGATCCTGGACGTTGAGATGTTAGAGGTGGTGGTGGTGCAAACCCTCCTTGTTGAGAAAGATAGGGACTAGAAGCTGCTGGCACTGGTGGAACATAGCCGCCTGGCTGAGAAGGAAATGGTACTGATTGTCTAGGTGGAGCTTGTGCAAACCCTGAAGGTTGCTGACTTATATATCCAGGAAAACCAGATTGAAAGCCAGGTCTAGCAGCAGGATAAGCTGAACCTGCTAAAGGGGAAGATGGCTGTGTGGTTGCTCTGGCAGCAGTAAACTGGGACTGCATGGGACCCTGATGAACATGTGGACTAGGCTGCATTGTATTTGCACCTTGAGGAGGAGATCCCATCGGAACAGTAGGAGGTTGGATTTGTGGATAATGGGCACCAGGAGGTGTTGAGAAAGGCCCTGAAACAGGTCTAACTGGGGCTGCTACAACAGGCTGCCCCGGCATTGAAGTGCGTGGAGGTGGTACCTGAGCTGTAGAAGGAAACTGCGGTGAGGGGAAACGTGGGAAAGGGTCAGACACTGTCGGCCCATATGGAGGTGTTGCTGTTGGAGGTGGCCTCCCTGCATCATTAGTCCCGGGTGGCATCGGTCTAAAAGTAGAGATCCCTGGTCCTACCATGGGGCCAGATGAGGACATAGCCGGAGAAGAAGTAGGAGGAGCAGGCCGAAAAGCAGAAGCATCAGATCCAACCACAGGACGAGATGATTGAAAAGGAGTTGTACTCTGCGGTACACCAAAAGGTGTAGCAGCAGGCCTTGAGGGAAAGGTTGGACGATTGGGATATTCGGTGCCCATGGTCACAAAGGACCGCTTCCTGAAGTTTTATCCACCAACAAAAACAATAAGACATGTCATTACCACAAAAATCAACACTAAAGCACAAAAAAAAAAAAGTAATGCAAGACTTATACATTAGCCAAAAATAGTAGGGAAACAAATATTTACAGAGTAATAGTGTAACCAAAGAATGGTAAAAAAAAAAGATAAGGACAAAGAAGAAGATATGCAACTACGTCTAAGTAGATACATACTTACTAAAGACATTTTCCATTTCATAATGAGCAGTCTGGTGAGTTTACCCAGCAAATAAGGAATGGTTGGGAGAATGACGGACAGGGGAAAGGGACACATAAGAAGGGCATAGCTCACTTCCACTTTCTTTAGTTGCCTACACCACATAGAATCTAGTTTCTAGTAGCTAAAACTCGTAGAGAACACTCAATAGAAGACAAATCACAACAAGGTTTGCCTCAATTCTAATAACTTCCTTTGATCCCTAACATTAATGTTGTTCCAGCAATCTATATTCCATCATAATAGAGGACAAAACAGTTAAATAAAAACAGTATCGGTAAATTCTCAATCTAGAGCAACATTCAATTCTGATGTTGATGTGCATATCCGTTATTCGAATCAAACTAACAAGAGCAAGTAGCCAAATCCATACTTGGTTTAATGCAGAATATAAATCAAACTAATAACTCAACAATATAAGTCAGCATCTGATCTCAAAAGATCAAAATTAACGCATCATCAAATTCCAAGAAAAACAAAATCCAATCTTTGATGTCGAAAACAACAGTTCCAAATCGCACTATCAACGCGAAATTGGCATAGAAGTCGTCGATTTGGAGTGTAGGGAAAATTACCTGATTAAAGATCTCGCCGGTGACGCCGCCGGCAAAAAGTGGAGTCGAAGTTGAGAGAATCGGCGATCAGTCGCAGAGAGGTCGAAGCGATGGGTTAAATCGCAGGATAGTGTGAGGAGTTAAAAGTTGGGCATATAACACAAGTCTCTTTTTTTCCGTCTCCTCTTACACAAGAACTGTGAAGATCCAATTACGAAGCGAAAAAAACAATTTTACTGCAAGGGCAAAAATAAAAGGAGAAATCAGAAGACCAAAGATTTCACTTTTGCCCCAAGTAATTTCATTATTCTTATACATCCTCCTCCCTTGCTTTGCCCATATTGCATTTTGGTCCTACTCTAATTTTTTCCCCGGATTCACAAATTTCACATTTAAATTATAGTTGTTCTATCATTTTACTTAGAAACTATAGTCGTTGATTTTTCTATTTGAACTGTCAATTATTTCATTTTCTCATCTGAACTATTCACCAATTATTTCATTTTGCTTCGTTCTTTGCAAAAAAACTGTCACTTTTATTGTACCCTTGATAATTATGTACTATAATAACGGAATTTTCAATCTTTGCATCAATAATCAACATTTAGTGATAAAAAAATCGTAAAACATATGTCCTTATTTAATCATATTAGCTATTGCAATCTATGAATGCACAAGTAATTATCCATCTTGTTTCTAATAACAGAATCAATCCAATGAAAACACATAATTATTAGAAACAATTGTTTGTTAGGGTTTTTGAGATTGAAAAAAAATCTTATTGAGAGAGTCTTGACTAAAAATGAGTGATGCAATATGTAAATTTAAATTTAATCAGATTTTAATGAGTATATCAAACATCGAATAAGAAATAAAAATTAAAAATGCGAAAAGGACTTGATACACCCTTCAATTTTGTCATGTAGAGCTAATATATTCCTTATTTGAAAATGACTCATATATACTATTTTCCTCTAACATGATATTGAAAAAAATTATTTAAAAAAGGTCAATGTAGAAGTATATTTGATCCTTCTTATATGTTTTTTCCTTTTTTTATCCAACTGTTAATTTAAATTTCCTAATTTGGTGGTCAAATTTATTTTTTCAGTGATATTTTTGTAAAAATTATTATGAATGCCACAATTATTATTTTTATAGATACAAAAACTAAATTACAATATAGACACAAAAAGTTAGTTTTACAATTATGATATAGCCGCACAAAAAACAATTTAAATTTTTTCTTCTTACTTCTTTCTCTTTTGTCTGTTTCCACTTTCTTTTTATACTTCTCTTGTTTTTATATTAAAGAACGAAAGAAATGAAATAAGAATATGAAATTCAAATAAGTTAAAAAATAATTCATGTATGAAAAATATCAAATACACCCTTGAACTTTGCTAGAAAGATCATATATACTTCTACATGAATTTTTTAAAAATTTAAAATTAATCTTTTTACTTTAATTAAATGAAAACGATATATGTGAGCTACTTTTATAATGACAAAGTATATGTGAACCATTTTCATAAGATAGTAATATATATGCGAATCACTTTTACAATAAGAGTATATCAACTCTAAATATGACAAAATTAAAATGTATTTTCATCTATATGGTGAAAATTAAAGTAACAAAGTAAATTGATTGTATTATACAATGCGAATTGACGATTTTTAACTAAAGTATTTTGTGTGCACAACATTTTGTTAGTCACAAAAAATTATTTATTGAGAAGTGATTTTACATTTACATTATCTAGAAATGATTCAAGCGATTTAAATTTTAAATACTTTTGTTGATATAAAATAAATACAGTATAGATGACAACGAAAATTCTAAAAATTTTAAAATGTATTATATTTATTTTTGAAACAATATTACAAATGCTCTATTTTATTTTTGTGCAACTTCACTTACTTACCATAACTCCCAATGATATCACAATAATTAAATTATGTGCTATTTGAAACTCATTCATTTGATTATTAATCTCATACATAGAAGTTAGAACTCACTAAATAGAAGCACAAAAAATTTATGGTTATAAAAAAACTAAAAATTAACATTTTTTACTCGCTTAACCAAAGAGGCTGAAAACATGACTTCATTGCAAATCCAAATTAGATTCTAACATGTGACGGTGCGGAGGAAAGGCTCAAAATAGTTATATCTTTGGGTTAAGGCTCAGGGTCATCCTTGAGTTTTTTCACATGGAGCACTAATAATTCCTCAATGTTTGCAATATTGGTGCACTTTTGGTCCTCCTTCAAAATTTTGCCTATTTTTTAACATTAATTTTATCCATAACTTATATATTATATGTTCAATTATCATTTTATATATTTAGTAGAAATAATAACTCCATATGAGAGAATGTGAGAAGAAAAACATCTTGTTTTGTTAAGTAGAAATTGCATTGCAGGTAAAGTCGAGAGATTCATCACGATAATTTCACATGCAATAGTACAGTTTTTTTTCTTTTCTTTCAATGTCATATGTTAAGATGTTCCTAGTTTAGCTACAATAATATTTCTACTGAACAAAACAATGTGTTCTTCTTATCACCTTCTCTCACATAGAGTTATTATTTCTACTAAATATATAAAAAGACGATTGGACATTCCTTATATAAAATTTTGATCAAAATCAATGTTAAAAAATAGGCAATTTTTTGAGAAGGACCAAAAGTGCACCAATATTGCAAACATGAGGGACTATTAGTGCTCCATATAAAAACTCAAAAATAACTTTGAGCCTTAATACAAAGATGAGGGACTATTTTGAGCATTTCCCGTGATGGTGCGCGTGAAAAGTGAAAGAAAAAAGAAAAACTAAAGATTGGATCCTGAAAATGTTAGTACAAGGCTAAAAGCTGGCCACGGACGGGAGAAGTATTTACTATTTACACCGTGAACAAATGAGGTTGCAGCTGGGATCTCGTCGGAGGCGCCTCTCTCCCCACCGCGCACTCATCGCCACCGCAGCTTTCACTGTCGTCGGACTATTGATCCTAACTTTGAGGTCCGTCGATCCGTCCACTCAGCTTCCAATCACCACCTCTGAAAACGTGAATGCTAAGCCAGCAGATACAAATTTCCACTCGAACCACTCCGATGCTCAACCACTAAAAACATGCGCAACCGTGGAGGAGATGGGCGAGGTGTTTAGCCGCGGGTTTTCGGAGGAAAGTTACAGAGTGAGGAAAATTATCGAAAGTCACTTTGCTATAAATGGTACTACTAAACTACATTTCATGCTATTTTATTGTTATCTATTCGATTTGTGAACCGAAGTTGTACTTATTTTTCCATGAAATTACTGGAAGAACTGTTATATGTTTGGCAATTAAGGAATCACTAATAGTTGATTGCTTTTTTACAGGTGCTTCGAGAGTTCGAGCTCTTTCGCCGGAGGAGTTCTGCAGACATGGTTTTGTGTTAGGCAAAGCATCAGAAGCGGGTTTTGGTAATGAGATGTACAAAATCTTAACTGCCGGAGCACTGAGCGTGATGTTGAACCGGTCGTTGATAATTGGGCAATCCAGGCATATTGGTTCTCTCTCAAGCCTTTCTATTTGTACTGTTTGGTGTACATGTTTAGTTTCGGATTCTATATTTGTTGTTTCTTTCCCTCGTAGTTTTGACATTGAACTATTTCAGTCCACTTGGAAGCAACCCCCAATATAGATGCAGGGAATAACTAGTCCCTTTTGCATTTGCGCTTTCAGAAAGAGTATCTCATTCCAGTAGAATAACATGTCTTAATAGAAATGCAAATTTTGCTTCATTAGCGAGAAACTATTAAAACACACACACAAATATGCACACATATGTATGCATTATATAGGTGAAACTCTGTTTCTTCACTCTAGTAAATAAGTACTGATCATGCATAGCTCATGTTCTGGCCTAGTACTCCAGAAATATCTTCTTTATGTCTAATTTTTGCATTTTCAAAACTTCAGGGGTAGATTTCCTTTTGAGGATTTCATCTCTTACTCCAATCTTACCTTCACATTGAAAGAAATCAAGCACCTTTGGAGACAAAATGGTTGTCTGACCAAATATGGGAGGCATCTTGTTATCAGAATTGATGATTTCCAGAAGCCAGCACGAACTAATGTTCTGTGTAGCAATTGGAGGGTCTGGGAACAACCTATTATCTGGTAAATGAGAATATGATTCATGATCCTTCTTCTCTCCACTCTTCCAAAAATTGACAAGGAAAGAGTAATCACTTGACTGACTTCGTTGGGACAGGTTCCAGAATACAACAGATGCTGTGGCTGCTCAATTTTTCTTGAAGAATGTACATGATGAGATGAGGATAGCAGCTTCTAATTTATTCGGGAAATCAGATGACCTTCAACATAGGCCTAACGTTTTTGGGGAGCTAATGAGACTTCTCATATTTCCGTCCGAGAATATTCAACATGCTGTGAACTGGGCATTGAAAGGTGGTGCTGACCCTGATATTGCTCTACACATGCGGATGCTTATGAATAGGTAGTGTACCAGATTAATCTTTCCTTCGACATATTATAAATTATTATTCAGAATTCTTTCAAAAGAAAGAACACTCTCTGAAGTTTGAAGGCGTCTGAAGTTAGAATAATTTCCTTGGTCTCTTACCAGTGTTCTGTAGAGTAATCCCGAATCAACACCAGGCAGACCCCTCCATGTTTTTGTAGTGACCGAGTGCAGTCAAATCATAGTCCTAAACTAACCCAGGAAGATATGAATTGGATGAAAAGGAGATTTGGCCTTACCTTCTTACAAAATTCTACAGTCCTCTCTTGCCACTTTAGTCCCTCGAACTCCTTTCGTCTTTTTTCCCTCCCCATCATTTTCTTTCGTCAGTGACCTTTTCCTTTTGAATTCTCCAAATGAATATGCAGTTGATATTTGACTCTTTCAATTTTAATCTGAGATAAACTATCTCACCTTTTATGATGATATAGAGCAAATTTTGTTGGATCTATTTTAATCTAGAAAAGAAATGAGTCAAAAAGTGTTCAAGCTCTTGATCACATTGTTCTCTATACCAGAATACTAGTTGCCTAAGACATTTAAGCTCCAAATTTGAAGCTAGTTCTTTTAATCATAGAAGCTCCTGTTTAGTTCTGTCCTTGAAGTCCATTTGGACTAGCGGCTATTATAGAACGTAGTTCTACATCTTTTTCCCTCATCTTTCCCATGCATGAATGAACAAACATTATTTAATCTCTGGTGCTTTGTTTCTGATATTAGAGTGTGATTTACAGTAGATAATCATTTTTTGATAATGTCATCTTTTTACGCAATGTTCCGAAACTAGTGAAGGGAAAAGAAGAGAATGGAACCGAGAGTTTGAAAAAAACCCTAATATTGTTTGGTTTGGATGATGGAAGAACAAGAAAACGAGAGGTTAATTATTATCCAGACCAAATAAAGAAAAGAAATAACTTTCCTTCATTGCTTTGTGATAATTTCTTTCGTTCCTTAAACAACACATTAGTTTTTTCTGGTGCAACAATTGGAGTTCAAGAGAGGATTGTTGATTTTCTTATTACTTTTACATTGGTTAAGTTATTGTTCCAAATTTTCTTTTCATTTTGAATGGTATGCTTTTAGGGGAAAACATTGCATTTTAATACCGTTATCTATCCAAATCTTATGCTATGTGAGACTTTTCAAGACCTCGGGATCTAGGTAATACGACCCCAATTTGGTCAGATGAGGTCAATAGTACACCGACTTGTATGGGGTTCTCCCCCCCCTTTTTTTTTTTGTTTGTGTGTATCAGAAAGAAAGTAAAAGGAAGAGAAAATTTCTACATGAAATTAGTTTATCCTCCCCTGGAACACTTAATATTTATTACAATGAAACATTTTTATAACAGAGGTTATCAAAACTTTTTTGGTGCTGCTGTTCCTTTCCAACGAACCTGGATAATCATACATGTAGTGCTGGGATGGTTGATGTTTCGTGTATTTTCCATTTTTGCAGTATACAGATTTCAGTATACAGGGAGAATTGGCATGAGCCCATACCCCTTAATTAATTATCAATATTCCTCCTTTGTATTTTCTCAGGTCCATTAGAGCAGTTCAAGCAGCCTTCTCTTGCATCAGAAAATCTGTGGAAAATCTAAAATTGATGTCCAAGCCCAGAATAATTTTGGTTTCAGATAATCCTTCTCTAGTCAAAGATATTGCTCCAGATTTGAATCAGTTTGCAGAAGTAAGCTTCTTTTGCCAATTCCGTATTGCTTCATAATCTTTTAACACAACAGGAATCACTAGTTATGAGTGATTCAATCTGTAGTGCTCGACTTCAACAATCTGATGGAACTGGGCTATTGACATTTTTTTATTTGTTTTTGCTAGGTCCTTCACTTTGATTTCAAACACTTCAAAGGAAATATATCTGGCAACTCAAATTTTCATACTCTAGATTTTAGAACAAAGGATTGGGGTACAGCGCCAAGATGGGTGGCATTTGTGGATTTCTTTCTTGCTTCACGTGCAAAACATGCGGTTATCTCTGGGGCTCACCGGCGTGTTGGGACCACATTTGCTCAGCTGGTTGCAGCGTTGGCTGCAGCTAACAGCCTCGGTACTTTTGTAACTTCATAGTGGTTTAGTTTCCAGCTGTAGTTGAATATGCCTCTTTTTTAAGTTTCTCACTCAAATATATCTTTCTCAGAAGAAGATAGATCCTCTGCTGGATCAAACTTCACCTTCCTCAGTAGCTTCCAGAGTAACTTGCTTAGAGAAGGTCTGAAGAATCAGATTGGTTGGGGGCACGTGTGGAACCGATTTGCTGGTACGTTAAGCTGCCACAACCAATCAAAGCAATGTGCTCGTACTCCAATTCTTCCGCCTGCATGGTGGGATGGACTTTGGCAGTCACCTATTCCACGGGATGTGAACAGAATGGAAGCATATGGCATTCATCTTTCTGGTTTTGGGACATTTGATGACAATCAGCTACACTCTTTCTGCAGTTCGAGGAAAAAACCCGTGCTGACCATTCCATTAATATAGATATACGCTGCTAGCTACATTCATTGGGAGATATCTCCTAGTTAGGCTGATTTTGTATTGGCATTCAGCTATTGTTTTCAATCGATTTGCACTTATTGAGCTGATAATTCGTCGAATGCATGGTGTAATGTTGTTGTATTTCTAAATGGCCTGACAGTTCTTAAAAAAATTACTGAATTTATAATTACCAACAATATCGGTAAGCTATGCCACATTCTAAAGTAGTAGTTGGAGTTGACTATATGAATCTTCATTATCAATTTTGCTTAAGTTGGATCTATTTCATTCTAATATTCAATAATTCCGGTTCTTTTTAATTACTAAACCTTTATGCTTTTTGTTGATATACTCTTTGAATCTAATATAAAAGTATTAAGCCCTGTTTGGACGTGACTTAAAATTAGATCGAAGGGAAGTTGAAATTTTATTTGGCCATGCAATTTGAATTTTTTAAGTTTTATGTTTTCTTATAAATATAAAGCCCCCATAATTTGTGAAAAGTACTGCAATTTCTTAAAACTTTTGAACAAGTATTGGAATATTCGAAGGCGCTGAATTTACCCAGGAAAAAAATTAATTACGCTTGCAAAAAAAAAAGAAAAAGGTCCTACCGGGAGTCGAACCCAGGTCGCTGGATTCAAAGTCCAGAGTGCTAACCACTACACCATAGAACCAGATGATGATTAGTTTTAACTTTCCTCTATAATATCTGTTGCAATAAATTCTGAGGGTGATATTCTAAAGCTCCAGACTTTAAGTAAATATGTGTGAACAAATTTCACTTCTGTTGTCATTTGTCAATCCAAAGAAAAAATGTTGTGTTCAACACCATCGTTGTCATATCAATTTTGTAAACAGCACTGTATTGTTCCAATATTCGTTACCACTGTTGTAGTGAATAGTGATGCAGATATTTTTCCTTAGAGCAACGTTTAATTTATATTTGAATTTGGGCTATATATAAGATCACTACCACTGACTATATATTCCTCACAGTAACCCCTGTCTCAGTTTTCTGCATCTTTTTATTTTTCAGATAATCATATATTATAGTTTTGGCAATAGGATTCCCTGCTATCTCAAGTATCTAGCGTTCAACTTTTAGGAGCTTCTTTTGCCTTGCAATTACATGACTTCGCAGTGAGGATTAGTAGTTAGAGTATGTAATTTTAAATTGTTGTGTTATTTCCACTTTCTGCTGAAGAGCTTGTAACTGGAGTTGACGCTCTATTAAAGATAAGAAACGTGCAAAAGCAACAGCCCTACTCAATCAAATCCAAAAACATTCAAGACTTGAAATGTTTGTTCCCATCAACTGCATCAATGCAGAGTTTGGGGAAGGGATGGGGTGTAGTGTAAGCATTCTCCAATCTCCCATAACCAAGCACCAGTGGTCTGATTCCACAACTCAAACCTGTGAGGCTGTGACTATAGGTATCCCATTTCTGATCCTGTCAATTCATGCCCTAAAAATATCACATTACTTCGCCTCTCATGCACTCTTCAATGATTACTTAGTAGATGCAATTGAAAACCGCATTTTCCAAGATGTCTTCATAACTTAAAGTTAACATAAGAGAATATTTTTATTATCTGTAGTAAGAATAACAGACACCTGATAGTCCATACAATTCAATAATGGGTTTATTACATCTGAATCTATCAGGAGCACAATGTCCTTTCTAGCAATTCTTGCAACTCTCCGCTCTTGTATGCTTCTGTAATAATAAAACAATGCAACTTGTTAATCTCCAATCAGTATGAATCAAAACTTGACACAAACCATGATGACAGCAACTGAATTGAGTGCTCAATATTGTCTTTGAGATGAAGAGATGAAGGCTGAATTGACAGTAAATTCCAAAAAACTAAAAGAGTAAAATATCTAGACACAGCAAGAGGTGTGAAGTTCATGTCTGGTCTAGCATTTGCTTGCAAGCTTGAATTGACAGTACTACAGATGGAGTTTAGGATGTTGCTTTAACTTAGGTGTATAATAGCAGTAATTGTGTTTGAAATTTTTGTACGGATCACATCAAAGTTTAAGGTTTGAATAGTTAAATGAATTCAGATTCATAAAAGATGTATAAAGTAATAATATAGGTGGAAGAATGTCAAAAAATTTAGAATGTCCCCAAAATGGAAAGAGCGTCACATACATTGAAACAGATGGTGTAGAATATAAAGTCTTGTTCATGATACATATTTTCTCTATTAACTTTTCTAAAAGTAGCTTAAACCCGTGTGAACTGATCCATTGATATAAGGAGTAACAATCTAGTATCTAGCAACAAGTGACAAGCAAAGTCATTTACATTTTCAACGAGGATAACTATAATTGGAAGGTGTTAACTCAATGTAACTATGTAAGTACTCCCTCTGTTCACTATTACTTGTCCACTATTCCAAAAATAGATTTTCACTTTTACTTGTCACTGATCTAAGTCATAAGCTTGGAACTTAACAGACCGATCTTGACAGAAGGAAAGGTAGTCTTTCCAGTGAAATCCTTTTCCATTTAATTGGTGTACACTATAGAGGCAGGACGGAAAATGTTGAACGTCCGTGGAAGTTCATCTGGAAGACAAATCTGCCATAAAAGTAGCCTTCTTTGGGTGAACAATAGCATGGAACTTGTAATAACTCAAGATTATCAAACGACAAAAGGGAGAATACGTGGAGCAGCGGCTACTACATGTGCATTCCCTGAGTAAAATCAGTAAACACATTTTTCTACACTGTGAGGTAGCCAAAGATATCGAGAATATGTTTTCTTTAGATGTCTGCAATGAATCAGGTCATATCTAGACAATTCTTGAATGCCCATCCATATGGAAACCTTCCTAATTAGAAAGACAGTTAGGGAACTTTTGGGATACAATCCCTTTATTGTGTTCTCATTTAGAGTCAACTTATAGAGATTACTAGTTTGGGACCTTACATTGAGAAACTTGGTAATAAGAGAGCAATTTGATAAAAGTACAATAGCGTTAGCAATCTAGGTGCAAGACTCAAGAGGTAGCAAAGATATTCCTACCCATCACATTTTTAAAAGAATTGAAAAGAGAAGCCAGTTAAAGGTGGGCCCACCATTCCCAAATTTCAAAGGCTGCAGTTGGTCCTAAGGGTTGGATCCAGATAGATTTCTTGGTATTAGAAAAACCAGTTAAAGACTTCAAAGGATGTGAATGAATGGAAAAAAGGATCAGCTTAGCAGTTGAGTGTTTGAGGAAGAGAAGACATGATCAACAAGGTGAACAATGTGGTGTAGGAGGTTGAATTGACTATTGAGTACAGAGAATTCTTACATTCTGTCCAAGTTATTTATGGTAGTTATGCCGGTTCTTCTCAGCAACAAAGTGCTCAATCCCAAATTTCAATAGTTATGATAATTCACCATATTATGAACAAAACTTCAACTTGACAGTAGTTCATCAACATAGTGAACAACTAAGAAAGTACGAACCATGTACTACACCTTCAAGTTAGGTAACATAACCTAAAAACACAAAAAACTCTTCTTAGGGTCCAAGGTTAGAATCCAGGCAAACACAAAAGACGCTAGGTGATCTCTTCCCATCTGCCTCAACTTTGATGGACAAAGTTACTTGTACCTGTGTTGGTGGGAGGTAGCAGGTACACATAAAGAGTCGAGGTGCGCAAACGTTTCAAAAAAAGTTCTGATGCATATTGAAGTATCAATTTGTATACCTACCTACAACAATGTCACAGCCACCAAAGAACTCTCCATCAATGTAGAGTTGTGGAAAGGTTGGCCAACTGGAATACTCCTTCAATCCTTGACGAAGTGCTTCATTTTCAAGGATATTTAGTGTCTCGAAGGGTGCATTTAGTGCTTTTAATATCTGAACCACTGTATTTGAGAATCCACATTGTGGAAATTCCTTGGTCCCCTTCATGAACAACACGATTTTTTGTGATGTGACAACCTTATCCAGCGTAGACTTCAAGTTAGGATCCAGAGCTACATGAGCATGAAAGTGAATTAAACACATGTCAGCAATTCTTACATGAGTGACTTACTTACTCAGCTATTCTTAAATGAGAAAATGAGTTGTACATTCCAAGCATAATAAGAGAGAATATATAAATATGCAATGATAAATAAACACAAAATGAGCAAAAGGACCCCCTTTATATCATAACATCAAAAGAACATAGACGCACACAACTTGGAGCAGCCAAAAGGTTGGGGGAAGATTTCTCTGACACTCTTTTGTAGGCATAAATTGAAAGATTGTAAATTTATGTCTCCTGTACTTAAAACCATCAAGTAAACATCCATTCCTCAAAAGCCTGACTGACAGGATGTGATTCACCAAATATTTCTCTTTCAACAATTCCATCCTTGCCATGTTGCTCTTCTAAATAACCTACAAAGAATGCCAACAAAGAAGACTTGCAATATCCTCAAATACGATCTTTTCCCCTCTAAGTCTTGCCTTACTAATCGCCTCAGCTAGCAATTAAGGGTCTTCCATTCTTAGTGAGCTTCTACCATCAAAGAGATTGCTAACAAACTTATTCGTATTTAATATACCTTGCACAAATTTTTTAAATCTCTCTTCATCTATGAGACTAAGCTCCCCAACTTGCAGGACTGGTAAGAACATAAGTCTAATTGGCCAAGTATTTCTACTTGAGATCTCGATCTATGAATTATGATAATAGATGCTTATAATAATGGTTGACTTACTAACTAAGCTATTTACTTTGTTTGCATTAAGGATAAGAATCACATCATAGACAGCTAAATTTGAATCTAAAGATTCATTTTTTCGTTAAACGAAACGATCCCGAATTCTGCTCAAGAAACATGATTTAGACAAGACAATAAACTGATACTATAAGAGAAAATGCATTAATATACAACTAATTAAAGTAACACAGAAAGCAATTACTTCCAACAGCATGAAATAGTTAGATTGCTCCTCATTAAATCAGAGAAACTAGTACTAAAAAATTTGCAGTAGAAGAAATAAACACACCAACGATTTCAAAACCCTATAAGCTAGAATATATCATGATGCGAAATTAAGAAGGGAAATCCATTTTACCAGATAGACAACGAATGGATCTTAACCGTCCATCCCGTTTGCCGGTAGCAATTGAGCTACTGGGAATGGTCGAGTACTGAAGAGCACGACCGGAATGAACCGTAGGAAGCGAGAGAAAAACATCGGTCGTACGTAACTGAGCTGCCGAGGTTCTAGTACTCCTGATAACGGACGGGAGTTGCCATTGAAGCGAAATTCCGAGAGACATCCTCAATTTCCTGTGAAGCCGTCTTTCACACGAATCAGCGCTAATATCTATCCCTACGACATTAACCAGTCAAGCGCTCCTAACCGTAGATTTACTTCACAAAGACCCACCCAAAATAATAAATTTATTACATCAATTTACAAATTTATTTCATTTGTAATTTTCGCTTGACATGAAAAATACTTTTGAATCTTATCGTATTATATTAAAAATATAGCATATCAAAATACTCTTTCTTACTCCTAAGACCTCATTATAACATTTTGTTTGATAAGACAAAGCAATATTGAGAGCCAGCACCTCATTATAACATTTTGTTTGATAAGACAAAGCAATATTGAGAGCCAGCCTCAAATTTGTAGTGCTGTTGTTTAACAAAGGTCTATTTGTGCAAGAAGGCAATTGTTATATGGAAAATCAAACAAAACTATTGGCTTCTCTTCTGGTCTTTTAACAAAATATTGTTAAGAATTTAATGCATACATGTATACTCTACGGTAAACTAAATTTTATGTAGGTCTAAAGAAACAATCAATGTAAACTGGAAGTGGATATAGATGATATAACAAACTTTGTGAGAAAACCATCTCTAGAACTCCATAAAGATCGAATTAGGTCTCAACCTTTTACTACCAAACACAAGTTTCATATTGGAGAGGTAATCAAAAGAGTTTTTTTAATTGTTCAAAATAAATGCCTAAATTAACTTGCTGCCGCTATAACTCCGTAAGAAAGACCGGAATTTAGCTCTATACCTAGATAACCTTAACGAGAGAAGCTGTAAGTAAAACCTATACATATCGACTGGAGGAAATGCACTAGCAAAATTTGATTGATAAAAGATCACAAGGCAATCGACCCGAATAGTGTTTTTACTGTTTCATTAGACATGTACACCATTCCCATTGCGATAAATCCCATCTAAAGATCCATTGGCAAGAGTCGTTCCATTTCCATTTCCATTTCGATGCAATTTTTCACCAGATGTACCATTGCTAAGTACATGAGTCGGTGCTCCACCCTTATTCAAAAGAGAATCAAGCTGCCCGCATGCTGCTGCTATAAGCCCTGTTCAGAGAAATAGGAATAAGATCATAACGAGGAGCATTAGAAGATTCAAAATAAGAGAGAGACTACTCATAACATTAGGAGTTGAACTTCACGATTAGAAAAGACCTTCATTCACTTAATTCCTTCAAAGTACCAATCTTCAGTTTTATGTCAACAAATCAAATAATCTAAGATGTATACATTGACTTCTCCGGATCAACTAGAAGAAGCGAGCCACATATAATGTGAAATGATACTTCCAAAGTAAGCATGAGGTATTCAAGCTGGCTATGAGCAGAAGGATAAAGAAGGGAGGAATACCTAAGAACACGGCAGACGGTTTTCCTGGCCTTGATTTAAATTCTGGATGAAATTGAACACCAATGAAGTACGGATGATTAGGCAGCTCAACAATCTGTAGAAGAAATAGAAAATTAAATCAATAACACTACGAGTATCTATCATGAATTCATAATTCAATTATATAAAGGTTCACCTCCATGCGGCGACCAGTTTCATCTTTGCCAGTGAAAGAAAGGCCAGCATCTTCAAATTGCTGCACCATATCAGGATTCACCTACACAGCACAAAATAAGTTTTTAGCATACGTCCCTTACTAAAGATATCACATCTTATAGTCCACATATAGTTAAACCAGTCCACCTGCAATAGTTACACCACAGTTCCAAATTTACAGAAGAAAAAAACGTGGTGTACCTCATATCTATGACGGTGCCTCTCATCTACAAAGCTCCGGTTGCCAAATCTGAGAAAAGATATAGTTTAACCACTTGGTAATATCAATAGGAGAAGCCCTCCAGAATGGCTTCAAATCAAGATATAGTCAATGCAGTGCGGTTGGAGGAAAGGAAGTACTTACAGTTTTGTAGATTTAGAATCTTTGACTTGAAAATAAGTTCTTCTTGATCCAAGACGCATGGTACCACCCATATGCGTTTTTGAACCCTGTGAATATGGTCTACAGATTAATATACCCAGTACTAAAATGAGACCTAAAATACATGAAAATCATGAGGGAAATTCATGACTAAGGGGAAGTGTCAGAACTTTACCTCCGGCATAAAAATTACACAAGGATTCAGAGTGTTGGGATCAAACTCTGTACTGTTCGCATCTTGCAACCCAAGAATGGATCTAGCATACTCGATAACAGCAATTTGCATGCCTAGACATATGCCCAGGTAAGGAATCCTGTTTTCACGTGCATATTTGGCAGCAAGTATTTTACCCTCCACACCTCTATCACCAAATCCTCCGGGAACTACTATAGCATCCGCCCCCTATTAACAGATGACTCAGTCAGACGTCACAAGAGTATATAAGATTAAGTAGGGGTACTAAAGGGTAAGATCAGCTATCATATAACGTTGAGGAATGAGACTATCCGAACCGTCAGCAAATTCCACGAATTTCTATAATTTTCAGGATTCTGCAATTGGAAATTAAAAGTCAGCTTTTGTCATACAAGATATAAAGCAAAGACACAAAGACGGACAAAAAATACCTCTTTGGCAGTTTCATTTTCAAGGTCACTGGCTGGAACCCAATCTACAAAGAGTTTCCTGCGGCAAGCTACAGAGGAATGCAAAAGAGCCTGAAAGGACAAAAAATAAATCAATCAGATGGTTATTAATTCTACCAGAGAAACTATATGAATTTAAAATAAGTCAGACTACAGCAATCACCTAAAAGAAGTAACGAGATCAAAATGAGAAGGGCATTAAAGCAGAGGAAAGTGTTTATTTATTCTATGCTGGAAAACGTTTGAGAGGCTAACCATATAAGCCCAACAACAATCACATGAGTAGATAAGTGCAAGTAAAAAGTGTCAGTTGATCTAGATTTGACTTGAGAGAAGTCTAGATGAGATATTCACCTTCAGTACTGAGAGATATGAATCTGAAAGTCCTGTGTACTTTCCCACCATGGCAACTCTAACCTGTATGGATGGCAAATTATGAAAGGTTTTAGACAATATGAGAGATAAACTCCAAAACGAAAAGAGAATTAACATATATATCCTATGACATACTGGCTCATGTAGTCTGTCACAAAGTTCAGTCCGAGATGTCCATTCTCCAAAGACAGGCTCCCGAGAAACTCTATGAATGACAAAAACCAAAATATTTTACCATATACGAAATGTCACAAAAGTGAAGATACTGAAAGCTGAAGATTGAAGACTACAGGCCATCACATAACAGAAACGAAAGACATTTAAAGTGGAGCTCATCAGGCTTACCCTTTAAGGTTCAGGACTTTCAGAATTGCTTCATGGGCCTTCTGATCCTGGTCCAACGAAGAAAATATTTTTTTCTTAAAACTCACCGTGAAAATTTATGCAAAAACATCAAAATAAGAGCACCAACACTACTCACTCTTAAAATCAAAGGAACTCGCCAAATGTTTGAGGCATCGTAAAGACTGATGATGCTATCTACCTGGAAACCAAGATACACAGAACTTCAGCACCAGAGAATCACATATAATACATGGCCAGATATAAGATATAGGTGTTTGGAGATATAGATTGTATAAAAGAAAGAAAACAATACCGGAACATGGCAAAAACGGGAAAGTTTCTCCTTCACATTATCATCAAGTCCCTAAATAAGAAAACGAACTTCAAAAGCTGAACTTGACAAACCTAAACATATACATAAATAACATGGATAGAAAGCTGATGAAAAGACACTTGGAGAGACGAATATATATATATATATATATATATATATAGAGAGAGAGAGAGAGAGAGAAACCGTTGTGCTCCGGCATGCTAAAATATTTGGAGTCAGTCCCAGGCTTCTCAAACCCCTGACACTGTGTTGAGTTGGCTTTGTTTTCTGAAAATTGAAAAGAGCTTAGGCACTCAACTAACTAGTTACTTAAACAAGAAAGATTAATGTAAATACACTTTGATCAGAAGCTACCTGCTCACCAACTACATTCAAAACGGGCACAAGGCTGACATGTATCAAGCAAAAATTTCCAGCACCTAAGAAGCAGCAAATTGAAAAACGTTAATTGCATTCAAGCACTAAACTTAACAATTGTATTTCCTGGGGCACAAAATTCATTCTATGGTGATGTCATAGTTTAAACTTGGACTCGCAACCTTACCTACACGATATGAGAATTGTCCTAAAGCTTCAATAAATGGCATAGACTCAATATCTCCTGCACAAGGATCAGTTACTTTGAGAAAACAGATCCATAAACAACTTATCGTGCCTACTGTCAAACATCATTTGACCATACCTATAGTTCCACCCAGTTCTATGACACAAACATCAGCTGGACTATCCTCTCCATCAACTGGTATGACAGCCACACGTTCAATCCACTCTTGAATGGCATCTGTAATGTGAGGGACGACCTAAACAAGTGGGCAGATTAGTAAGAGCATAACTTAAGGTAGATGAAAATGTACTCTGGAAGAGCGACAAACCTGAACAGTCTTCCCCAAATAATCTCCTCTTCTCTCCTTATCAAGAACAGACTGAAAATGGAATTCAAGCAGTTTCTCAAGCTAAACATCTTGCATTCATGGATTTCATTACATGAATTTGAGGAAGCATGAATCCATAAAACCATGTAGGAAGAAATTACCGATTTTTGACAACATACCTGGTAAATTTTTCCAGTAGTTATATTGTTGTCACGTGTCAACTTAATATCCAGAAAGCGCTCATAGTTACCAAGGTCTAGGTCCACCTACAAAACCAAAGAAAATAAAGCAATGATCTATTGGCATCAACACAAAAAATTCCACTTTACCTTTCCTGAGTCTTAAATCAATAATGTTTGTCTCTACTCTCTCTATAAAAGTTGACACAATAACAATAAAACAGAGCAACCGGAAGTTTTCCCCTAAATGAAGAACAAGAGCTATGGGTAACACTATCAGGGCACAGAGTCGCCATCAGAAAACTAAGTAACATGTTTAGCTTAAGTCTAGAAAGACT